AATGAGACTTTATAGCCGTTGCTAATGTTTTGGGGTTTTGTTTTTGGTTTTTTTTTTTACTCTGTTGGAAGTAGGGATAGCCTCTCGGCCTGAAGAGAGGTTGTGGCAGCAAGTTCCACAAGCTGCCTACACATTGTTTTATGTGTTACTCTTGGTACCAAAATAAGCCAAGTAGCATGGTGCTAGGTTGGTAATTTTCTCAAGTCATAGTTTTGGTTTGGAATGAGTTGAACCTCGATTTAAACCATCTTAATTTAATAAATGCCAGTTAATACATTTAGGCCCTTGAGATATAACTAAAATGCTTGTGGCTGTTTTGTGATACGGAGTTTATGTGCTGTATGTGCCAGTGAAATTGCTTTCTCTGCTAGAAGTATGAATGTGTTTTAGGCTTTGCTCCACTGTTTTCTCTTCATCGTTGCTGGTTGTTATTTGCAGCAGTGCCTACAGTGGTGCTGCCTTGGGCTGCAAGTGGTATCAGAGCTTCAAATTAATTAGTCATTTTATATCTTGTGGAGTTTTGTTCTTTTTCTTTTCCAAGAGCAGGACATCACTCCCCTTTGCTGTGGCTGAAATCCAGTGCCTTGATTGCTGTGCTTTTTACGTATCTAGCCAAGGTGTGTGAAAACTAGAATTTCTGCTGTGCAAAAGAAAATAAGCATGAATGACTGTGTGTGTAAATATGTCAGAAAATCTAATTTGAAAGGAAAAGTAGGGAAGAAGGAAATTTTTTTTATCTGTTTTAATACAGCGAAAATGGCATTTCTTGCAAAATGTTGTTGCTGGGACCTTGGCGATGTGTTGGAGAGGTTGCCAGGGAGCTTGAGGAGCGCGGGTGTGTGGGTGAACAGGCAGAAGACCAAATGTTTCCTCTGCCACATTTCTTGTGAAAGTGGGGATTCTGTCAAATGAACTGATGTATAAATTATTCACTGAAATGTAGTACCCCAATTCTGAATCTCAGTGGAATCTTCACTTCTTTCTTTTTTTCCCCCCATCTTAAATGGAAATTTGCAGTTTTTAAACCCAGTTAGCATCTTGCAGCTGCCAATGACAGAATATATAGAGACCCTACATTTAACTACCTGTTAACGCTCAGCTCTTTCTGAAAACCAGGCATCTGTAACTTGTGTGAAGTTGGGCAAAATTACAAAATCTGCTAGATGTCTGGGAAGATTTAGACTAGAGTCCTGCTTTTTTCCCATCGCAGGAATGTGAGGTGCTGGCAGTGTTAGCCTGTTGCGCTCTGCAGAAGGAAGGAGAGGTATGCCATACAAACAGACCACAGTTGTGCACTGATGGAAAAAATCTATGCTTCTCACCTAGCTGCTTAAGGATTTTAAATTCAGTGCTGCTGCTTTAGTCTTTGGAGATCAAAATAATACTTCAAATTGAATTACTGTAAACTGCTGTGGCATGCAGCAACCTGTAGAAATGCGCTCTCTGAGCTCCTGAGAAATGCTGCAGTCATTTCTAGAATCCGGAGAAAATCAATACTTTACAGGGAGTGAATAGTTATTCTTACTTAAAAAAAAGAAGTGGTGGGTTATCTAAGATAGTATCTAAGATACTCTGTTTTGTTACTGAGTTAGTGTTTAAGATCTTGGGCTACTGTTACATCTGCAGATTGAGAGTTGGCTTTGTGAAACCTTTAAGAGAGCGGAGCGGGGGGTAGCGCGAGGTTTTTAGTCAGTATCCAGAATTGTAACTCAGACCCATCTGTCCTAATTATGTTGAAATGAGGGGCAGCTTCTTCCCATGCCATATTCTGTCCAATTTAATTCAGCAACAAAACTGTTACATGTTGGACTGGCTTTCAGTATCACATATGAAAGTCAATGCGGCAGTGACAAATGAGGAGATCGCGCAACACCTGGCTGTGGGTTTTACTGCAATCCTTGATGGTTCAAATCAGGCGCAGTCTCCCCATGGACTTCACTTGGGCCAGACTTCCTCCTGCAGTGTTTTGGGCAAAGGTCACTACCCAGCTCTGCTACTTCTGAAACATGTCTTCTCCCATTCCTGTCTGCCATCTACCTGAAAAAAGAGCAAGTAAATATGTCTGCTAGCACTGACTGCAGCAGCTGCAGAACCTGGGAGGCTTTACATACAGTCATGTATATACCACTGCATCAGTTACAACAGGACAGCTTTTGAAATCTTAAGATAAGTACCTCCTGTGCTCAGTCATCTCCAGGTTCCTTATGTCATACTCCCTGGCATAACATGTCTGTGGTTTTTCATTCCCCATGCTCCCATGATCTTAAAAGCCAGATTCTAAGAGCTTACGTGCATGTCCACTAATGTTAAATTACCAGCTCTGTTTGCCCTTACCCTGAAACTGCCTCTGTACTGGAAGTGAGCCCCCTCTAGTCTGTCCAAGAGACAGAAAATACAAAAGATGTTCTAGTTGCTTCGGTTCAAAGTCTGAAGGCATAATGTTTGCGGCAGGAGGACATTTTTCTTCTGTTCCACCAGGGCATTGGGCATTTGAGGAAACAGAGGGCCATTAAAAAGCATTTTGGAATAAGATGTAGTTCACTGATCTGCTGTCCTGGAACCCAGTGGGAATCAAGAGCTGCCAGTTTCAGGTCCAGCTGTGCTGTGTGTTACATGGGTGGTAGTCTAGAGATACTTTTGCCAAGGCCAGGTAAGCAGATACCTGAGGAACAAGATTTATTTAAAGGCAGTAAATCAGAAATGTAGAGCTTAACCATAGCAGCAGTATGCATATGCTCTGCTTTGTCCTAGGTTTTATCACTTCCCGTTTTCCATTCTGATACTATTATGTTTTGGGCTTATTGTCCCCTTGAAGGTCACCTGCTTCTACCTTTGGGAGCATGTTTGATGTTTCACTGGAGACATCCAAATGGCTTCTTATTGTTTCAAACAAAGACACTTAGCTGCCTGCTTTACTAAACATATGTTTCAGTGCAGGTGGCTTAGCCCACTGGGATATTGCAATGTTAAATCACTGTAATAGCTGACAGAATGAGTCTCTCATCTTCTGTTTTGTGTGAGATTTTGCTTTGATTTTGGGTTGGGTTTTGGTTGGTTTTGGTTTTTGTGTTTTGTTTTGTGTTGGGTTTTTTTTTTTTTTTTTCAAAAATCAGCATAAGTAGCTTCTGGTGCAGGACTCTCACTGTCAGAGCTACTGAGGCATTTTGCTTTAGGAACTTTTAGACTTTGCTTTCTTAGGTGCTTTTCCCCTCTTACCTGTTGTTCTTGGGGTACATTGGAGGCAGAGGAGGTGAGGGGAATTCTTCCATTTGCTGTCTACTAATTTTAAGACCTTATACTGCCACCATTGCAGAAGGACTGGAGAAATAAGTAAAATAAGTAACCATATGAAACAAGTAACACTAGCAAAATCTCTAGAGGACCCTTGCAGGGGAGTTTTGAGGAGGGGCAGCATAGATTTTGCAGTAAGAAGGAAGAGGTTATTCTCTCAGCAGTATTTAGACTGGGAAGCTTTCCTAAAGCAGTGAGTTTGCATTGCTTCTTGGACTGTATTACTAAGGTTTTTCAGAAATACCAGCCACTTTATTTCTTAAAGTCCTGTCAAATTATTTGATCCATTTCATGCATTGAACTTTTTTATAAGAAGGAATTTAGCTCAACTTCAAGATTAGTTTGTGAAAAGGTAATTCAGACCTTGTGCCTGGCTAAACTAATGTGTTTCCTTGTATATTTGGTAGGTAAACTCCTCCAGTAACAGTAATGGTAGAACTGCTGACCTCTCTTGTCCAGACATATGCAGACCATCATTTCTAGACCAGATCTGCTTAGACAATAGCTCCAAATTCCAAGAAGCAGATCAAGCTAATGTTTATCTGAGCTAATTAGTACCATCGCTGAAAGAGTCTGCTTATGTTGTATTGCATTAGTGGAAGCTGAGGGGAAAAATGGTGCCCTTTGAGAAAAGCCATAAGGAGGGCTGTCTGGCCCAACATCATTTGTAGAAATAGTGTTCCTTAGATGTATTTCAAGTCTTGTCTTTAATGGCAATAGAATTAACTAACAGAGTTTATTAGATTGTGTATATTAGCTTGTTGATAAGTATGAATGATAAATCATGTCATGTGCACCAACAATGCTTAGTCCACTTATTTACCATCTAGATCTTGGTTGTGATTACATATGAAATATTCCCTGATACACTAACAAATATGTTAGGGTGGGTTTTACAGGAGCATTGTGGTCTTGCAACTGCGCTGGCCCTAATAATGAATCTTTAAGGAAAAGGACAGCACTTCCATTCAAATTAAAAAGTTTCCATATTCAAATTTAAAAATCAGATTTTTGAGGCACAAATTAGCAAAACCTTGTTCTAGAAATCTATTTGTACAGGGCTAGTGCATCCAGCCAATGAAAATGGTTGTAATAGGGATTCATTGATTTACACCCACAGATCTAGCCTGGAATGTGTAGAAATGCTTGTTTTACAGGCTTCAGTCAGCTGTTTTGCCTTCCAAAGCTTAACTTGAATCTCTTGTAAGCAAATAATTATGCAAAATATAATTAGTTTATTGTTATGTTTTAATCACTGAGATGATATTGTATTTACAGGTTTTTATCTAGTTAACAGCTACTTTCCCATATAAAAGAAATTAAATAATCAAATATTTGTAGAAACTAAAAGGGCTAAAATGCACCAGTTATGAGCATGCACTTTAACAGCCCAGAGAGCAGAGCCCAAAACTCGGTGGTTTGTGTTGCATTTTACTCTACTCTGTGATCTTTGCCTTTTTGAGCCTTAGAAAAAGTAAAGCTGTGTTCATAGTTGTGATACCTTTCAGGAGATGTAGATGAAAAACTGTCAATTACCAAGATGCACAGCACTATGAGTCTTCTAACAGAATTCTGTGAGTATTTGTTCTGGCTAAAACCTCAGGGGCCAGGTTCTTCTCTGGGTCCAATAAGAGAGAGTGAATAAAGAGCAGAACAGCTACTTGATCTTTGGATGCTCAGATCATGCTTTATATATGTGCTCATTTCAGATCACTGGTTATTCACAACGTGTGGTGCCAGTGGACCCTATGGCCCCACTCAGAGCCAATGCAACGATGCCTACAGAAACTCCAACCTCAGTGTGATTGTAGGAGCTGAAGGGATTCTCCAAGGCATTCAGATCTGGAGAGTACCAGCAACCAACACGTACAGGTAAGGGAAACATTTTTGGTTGCCATGATATATCTTTGTGTTTGCAACTTATCCAAGCTTCAGATACGTGCTAGGCAGGTATTATATTGAGAAGTTTGACCAGATCTACTTGGTTTTACTTCTTCTTGATCCTGTGATTTCCAACCTTTCCAGACTCAGATTTGTTGTCTGGAAGATGCAACTTTTTGGTGAAAGAGAGAAGAAAAGAAAAAGAAGCAACCATCTGAGGCAGACACATCTTTAGCCTAAATGGTTACAGGTTGGGAGAGCTCTATAAGTAGCTGAAAATCAAGGGGCCAAGGGGCATACATATCCCATATGCCATCCATTGAATTCTGGGATCAGAATTATTTTTTCCCACTCTTCACCTGGTACAGGAGGCACAATCATATGTCAGCATTTCTAATGGGACAACTTGCATCAAGCTCTGCTCAGCATCTTGACTTTTTTGAATCTAAGCATGGTAAATTGAGCCTGTAAGCCTGGCTCACCACTGCAGAATTGATTTTGGAAGCCAGCCACCTAAATGTTAGGCTCTGTGATACTGAGGGTTCTAATGCTTAAATCTCCCTGTGGAGTTATTTTCAGAGGGAGATGATCAGATACGGTTCAATGCTATTTTATCAGATATTTACCAATCTTTTTTCTTTTTGCTTTTGCTGCGGAAAGAAGTACAATCGAAGTTTAGTTCACTGTATCTGAGTGGTAACATCAAGCCATTACATGCATCAGTTTGTAAGCAGAACTGTCTGTCTAGTGGTGAAAAGAAACATTCCCTGTTGAAACCAATGATGGTATCATGGATTTCAAAGCAGAACATTCCACTGAAGTCTTTGAATGAATTTCAGTTAAAACTTACTGGCACTTTCTTTTTTTTTTTTTTTCTTTTTCTTGAAAAAGTATATTAATATTGAGGATAGATGTCATTCTCTAACAAAAGTCTACTGCAAAGCAGTTCTGAGAAACTGGCTAAGCTAGGCTAGGCGTAAGTTCTGCCTGAGTGCCTATTACCACAAGGATTGATGGTAATGAAAAAAGCATTAATGATATTTTACTCAGCTATCAAAAATGAGTTGCCTGAGGTGAATAGAATTTTTCAGGACTGGCATTCAGTAAATATGGTTATAAAGTATAGCCCAAAAGAGAAGAGGCAATAAACTTACAACATTGTCATTTCTTTAATATCACAGCCCAAGAAAAGCTAGAATTCCAGTGCAACTCTAGGCTGATTTTTGCTACACAATACAAACCACAGGTCCTGCAGGGAGGACCTGTCTATTTAAGTCCTGCTAAATGACCTAACAGACTTTTAGGTTCTGTATAAATAGATGGCTAATGTCATTGGTAACCTATATATATATATAAATGGATGACATTCTCTTCTGCACCTCTTAAGGCTATAGTACAGAAGTCACAGCCTGGGGAAAGGAGGAGGCAATTGTGAATTTAAATTAACTTGACATCTCCCTGATTCTGGGCTGCTGAGGGGGCAGCAGAGTCCCCCAGTATAGCATAGCCCTAGGAAAATGTCAAGTTGCAATATTAATTCTAGGGCTTCCCAGAGTCTGGCCCCACTGCCTGTATTTAGCTCTCCCCTGCAGGTCTGCTGCACTGTGGGTCCTGTAAGTTAGCCTGATAGCCATCTCCAATACATCTAACCCAGAGATAAAATCCTCCAGCTGGCTGTTGGGCTCTTAAGAAAGCTGTTGTTATGCCATATCAGTGCGTTTTACACCGTGTAACATAGAGCAGTGAGTTACATTCCCGATAATTGCATAAGAAAAGTTTGTGTGAACACGAGGCAGAATATGCATGAGTAAAATGCAAAGACAGAAAGCTCAACTTTATGCAAAACTCTACTACCACGAGCTAACCACACCCAGAAAACCCCACTATCTGTGAAGGTCTGGGGAGACTGCCACACACTGTAGGTGGCTTCGTTTGAAGACAGGAGTCCTACATGCTCCAATGCTGGTATCATCTGGTTTGCTCCCACGAGACTGCACATCGTATAACAATAAAATTAGGCAACATAAAAGAATATTTTTCTTTTCAGATTTCCTTGTAAGCTTTCAGAAGGTCTTGTCATCCCATATCTAGGCCCATGATCAAGTATGAGAGAACTGAACTGTAATAAACTACACATTACCATCCATTATCTGAATTCTTGCCATTTTTAAAGCAAGAGTTTTTGGTCCATTTTGCTAAGTACCCCATTTGTTCTCACTTACACTGTCCTCTCTTTTCTCTGTTCCCTTCTTGTAAGGTAGCACAAGAACGTGGCACAGTGGACTACAAAAAGGTCTCCTAAGTTGGCTAGCCTAGGCACTGCATTTTCTCATAGTCTCAAAACTAGCTCCCATGTTCCCCGTGACCTGGCTACCTAGAGGTGGATATTTTTTCTCCAGCTCTGGTTTGCACAGCTAGAGTACTCTGCTCATCCTGATCCTTCCTGAAGAGGCAGTTTTCTTTTTCAGTTCTTACAAATATCATAGTAAAATAAAAGGAAGAAAACAGTGGAAGGTACTCTGTGTTCTGGTTATATCTACTCAGGGTGATCTGAATCTTTCTTCAGGCCCAATATGGTTAAATGGATTCCTTCTGTAGAAGAAAGTTGTGCCTAAGGAAAGGGATCCTGCTAAAACTTGAAGCCAAAATAACCCATCTGTTTAAATAGTGACACCCATTTTGAATAGGGAATGGGCTGTCACCTGAATCTACTGCTTTTTATTTGTCTGCAGCCTTTGAATGGGGCCAAAATGGGTTCTCCTGAACTTCCCAAGATCATTGCTTGTATGCAAAAATCTGTTTATACACAGAAAAATATGGCCCCTAAGTGCAGCCGATTAGCCCTGCCAGCTTATTGTGCCTGATGGTACACCTCATTAGCCATTACAAAATTCTACAGCAAATCAACTCAGTGTTCAGATTCACGCAGCATCTGGTCAGGCTGTGTCCATCACTTTTTCTGCGGGCTCCAGTGCAGCCTTACTGAGGAATGATTGCTTTGGTTATCAGCAGTGGCATGAACATAATCATGTCACATTGCGAGGATCTAATGTGCTTTATGAGGCACTCGACACTCCACAGTTGCTTCAACGTCAGAACTGCTCCATGCTGGCTGCCTCAGAGGTGAGTTCCTCATGCTACTCATTAAGGCAACTTGCTGGGTGAAAGCAAGGTGGCTGCCCAGCCTGTTCGGGGTGCTCACACATGATGGGCACTGCTGGTTCGTTCTGCTTATAGCCTGTTTGCATGCAGGACTGTGTTGGGCAAAGACCAACCAGGTGCTAGAGGAAAGGGGGAGTTAAAGCAGAGCACTCATACTGTAACTAGTAGGAAGCCTAGAGGAAGTTTTGTGTTCTCAGCCCTGCAGTCACTTTTATATGCTCCAGGTTGAATTTTGCTCTCATAGAAATAGCTGCAAAGCTACTCATGTCAATGGAGAATCACCTGCTTATTTCAGGTCTAAATTGAGCTTGCTGTACCACCAGAAAGTTAACTTTGTCTTTTGTTGCAGCAGAGATATGTGTTCTATCGCGATTTTTATAAAGTGCTTTGAAATCCTTTAATAAAAGCTGCTTCAAATATGTAACTTGTATATGTACTTAGAAAGGGAGAGAGGGGCTTATTGCTATACAGTGGAACAGTCAGACCTTTGGGTACAAACAACAGTAAGGACCTCTGAATCTCGACTGCTTGAAATAAAACTCCCAGAGCTTTATTTGAGACTGCAGCAGCCGGTGTATGGAGACAGTGAGGCACTGATGGTGACTGTGAGTTTAGCCAGGGGGCTTTTGCCTTCCTGTTTACTGCAGATAGTGTCATGTCCATCTACTCTTCTATAGTCCTCAAGCCCTCGGAAAAGGAGAGCTGTTTCCTATCTGGTCCATGCTACCAGGACCAGTTATGCTGTCTGCTGTCTCAAATGTCCCGCTGTGAATCTTGGGCATAATGTTCTCTTTAGCCAGATGTGCTGTACGTACCAGATCTCCTGCTTCTGTTCTTTCTCTTCCTTGCTGTAAATGTCTCGAGGGTATGCCTCCTGGGAAACAAAAAATGTGTTTCATATATTAAAGCTTGAAACTACAGGGACTTGCTCACTCTGCCCTCAGCAAGTGTTTGCTCCAGAATCAACGTGAAAAAAACTGTTTTGTAGGGACCCAAGTTCTCCATGTAGAGCAGAGAACCTCAGTCTTCAAGCTTTGGGTTTAGTTTTATTTAGAGTGTCAGGTCTTCAGGTCTCCTACTATAACAACTGTGACACTGTGTACAGTTCAGGTGTGCAAGACACTCAGTGCCCAGACATGGTTTGTACTACCTTCCACTCGTCTGGAACAACTCAGGTGCCAGGCTCTTGTTTTCTTTTTCCTGCAGCATCTCAGGCTATGGAGCTGCTGGTGGGAAAGGAGGGAAGAACACCATGGTGCGGTCCCATGGCGTGTCTGTGCTGGGAATTTTTGACCTCCAGAAGGATGATACTTTATATATCTTGGTAGGACAGCAAGGAGAAGATGCTTGTCCTAGTGTAAGTGATTTCCCTTTCTGTTTTGCCTTAATCCCTTCTACAAATCCACAGAGTTTTGTCTGTTTACAAAGAAAACCATTGTCCTTGAGGAGTTTTGGGTTATGTGGTTCAAGTGATAGCTACAGTTTTACTGGAAGGGCATGAATGTGAAAAGATGAAGTACCATGTCACTGGGCTCACTTCCTCTTCAACATTCCGGCCTCATGCACTACAGGTTCCTGATCGATCTGCATATCTCAGAGCACTCGTGCAGCTTTTCAGAGAAAAAAGACAACCCTGCCTTCCTTTCCTTTCCTTTCCTTTCCTGAAGACCAGTCTCCAAGGTTGACTTCACAGTCTTTGCTCCACTGTTGAGCCCAGCCCTGCCATTATCATAGTACCCTGCAACTCTGGAGATACCCACTCCTCAGGGCCTGTTTGGTTATTCTCTATATGCAAATGGGAGAGACAAATTAATCACTGCTGGGTCAGTCCTGATTTTTGTGTTACTAACCAATCATTGCCACAAAAACCTTGATAGAAAGGTGCAATTTCCACCATTTCCAAGCACAACAATCTATTAATTGTGTAGTATTCTTTGGTGGATGAGGCAATAGGAGATTCTTATAGAGGCAACTAAGCATTATCTGGTGAAATTTCAGATAATGCTACAGGTTTGAGCTGGACATTTAAATGCTGTGCATTTCTCAGCTGTTAATGGCTGGCATCCAAGAGATGAAGGCTTAGCTGTCTCTTACAGCAGAGAAAGGCTGAAGGATGTCGACAAGAAAGAGGGGTTCTCAAGGCTGGGTGCTGAAGTAAATAATGTTAAAACTAGAATTGTACATACCTACAAACAAACCATTAATATGAAGCCTCTTTGAAATGAGAAATGCCCTAACTCAAACTTCCATCTAACGTCTATAACTAGGACATTCCAACTGAGTGTAATATATGGACTCATTAAATTGCAGGCCACTGTAATCTTAGTGAGAATTTATTGAGTGCTAATGTAATTCTTTCATTGAGGCAAAGAGATTGCATTGACTTGTAGAAGGGACTTTAACTAGATTGGATTGTAATCAGTTATGTCTTTGCCATGAAGGATTTTTTTTTTAATTCAATTGTAATCTAGTGGTTCCTTTGGGTCATTGACTTTGTCATTTTATTAATCATCCCCACCTAACTCCAAATCAATTAAGGAGAGGGAAGCTAGGTAAAAGAGGATTGTTTCTTTCCATAGGCAGGTCTGCACACACAAAATGGATGTCATTCATTCTCTGGCACAACCTAGGACACATTTTGTGGTCAACAGAATAATTTGTAACTTGAGGATGCTTTTATCAGGTTCCTCTTCCAAAAGAAAACACATACATGAAAGTAGAAGGAAGCAGAAGGTCAATCCTACTATAACAACTGTTTGTGCATTTTTCCCTTAAAGTGTTGTTGACTTAATGTGTGTAACAAGGTAGTGCTGCTGAGATGAAACGTGTAAAGTAAAATAAGCTAGAAGCAAAGCTTGCAACTTACAAATACAGCAGAGTCCTCTTCATCAGGCACTTTAGTGCTCCAATTTAACATTGAAGCAATCTCTCTTAGGTCATAATCCAGAAGTACTTTAAATGATGTTTTAATATTGTGTTTGAAGTCAGTTAGTGAATTAAATGGTTTGTCTAATACAGAAATTTCATTACATTTGGTGCTAATTAGTGGAGGGGAAAAAATGCTATTTAGGAAATATAGAGGATTTTATCTTTAACATCAGAACAACACTGCAATCAAAGGTGGGATTGCAGCTGTTTTGGTAGGCTTTGAACTAGCTAGCACTGGTAATGATAGTAAAATTGCTGCTACAGCATAAGCATCAGATCAACTTCAAAACTTGCTTGGAAGTCTAGATAAGTATCAGCTGGCTAGTCTATGATGAGCTCGTTGCTACTGTCCATGCTATGACTACCTAGGTTAAAGCTATCTCTGGTACATTTAGGTGAGCCACCAATACACCTTAGTTCTGGATAGATGCATGTTGGCTGCCTGGCCCCAACCAGTGGGGCACTGGAAGAGGAGTAAAGAAACTTTTGTTCTCTCTATGTCACTGCCATTTGGCTGTTGGATGGCATGGGGCAAGTCACGTCATCGCTGAGTTAATCCCTTCCCCCACTAGTGAAATACAGATTGTTAATGCTGGGAAGTATTAGCAGTAAATTGTGCTACATCTTGTATGGTAAAAGTTTATGGAGCTGTTTTACATGGTAATAAATATCAGCACTGAGCTTCCTTCAAAATACTTCCATTAAAATGGCAACAAATTCTTCTGATGAAGGTTGAAGCAAGAAGTGAGATTCTTCTAGAAGAGCATTCACTTGCTTCTGCTTACATGGTTTCACTGGAGGACAATTTATTGCTTTGGAAGGGTGAAGGGTCCACAAGACCTGTGTGTGTACAAGAACATGGAGATTTCTTACCAGAATTCAGACCTGGTCTTCTGTTTGCAGACTAATGGTGTTATACAGAAAGTCTGCATTGGAGAGAACAATGTGATTGAAGAAGAGATACGTGTGAACAGAAGTGTCAGCGAATGGGCAGGAGGAGGTGGAGGCGGAGGAGGTGCAACTTACATATTTAAGGTATGGAAACATAGTCCACGTGCACCTTCAGCATGAACACATCCTGAACTTGCCTCTAGTATCACTGCCTGAAATATCTGAGAATCCTTTATAGACCTCTGGGGAAGGGTCCACAAAGTGAGCTCTGGGTGTCCTTCATTTCCAGTTGATAGCTGTAGTAAGCTGAGGTGATCCTTCACCCTTAGAACAGTATGGCCACGCTTGCTTCAGTGGCTTGGAGTTTCCTTTGCAAACATAATAGTTTGAACTGGATTTTTTTTCAGTGCAAGCTGAGATGCTGAAGTATAATTCTACAGCAAAGGACAAATTCCACAGGAATATATTCAAATCTATCATTGTAGAACATTAGACTTCAGCTACATGTTTGGCCTATACGGTGCAATGACAACAAAAGTTAAGGATAGCCTGTATGTTTTCTGTTGGCTATAGCTAGGGACCCTATAGCTAGGGACCACTGATCTTTACTGTCCTGTACTGGCTGAGACAGTGCTCCTTCCAAACACTGGTTTCAGGCATTAACAATATGTTTAGATCACCCAACTTCTACATAACTCTGTGTGCTCAGGCAGTTTCCAGTGTAGCAGTCCTTTACCAGTGGAGACACTATATTGCACTGTATAGAGCGGTGCTCTGTAGCTGTTTCATTTGATGAAAGTCATCACACAGTAACATTAAAGCTCTCTTAAGAGTCATCAGCACTGTAGGTACAATTCATAGAGTTGCTGATGCCCCTGTTCTCTGTTGCAGAACTTGGTAGGACCAGTGATACTCATTAATCTTTTGCATGTGGGTGCATAAATACTGCAATGGTAATTTGTGGTGCTGAGCAGTCCTAGATGCCTCTGTAGCGCAACATGCAGTAACTAGTGTGTGGTTGAACTTCCATTCGCGTGTCTGACTCAGCTTGAGCACTGCCTTTATTTCTGGATTTGTTAAGATGGAGAATGGAGAACCGGTCCCCTTGATAATTGCAGCAGGAGGTGGTGGAAGGGCCTACAGGGCCAAAACAGACACATTTCATCCAGAAAGGTTGGAGAATGATTCCTCTATTCCAGGGTTGAATGGAAATTCAGGAGCTGCAGGTAAGGACGGTTTATTCTTTTTAAGAAAAACTTTGTGAATATGTGGTACTACGAGATTCCTTCTCACAAGGAGGTGAGGTGAAACTCATGAAAACACAGTTCTGAGGGAACATGAAAGTGCAACAGATACGTATAGGATGTACCCACAGTGCAGGATACTTGGCCAAAATAAGGGTATGAGAGTTGGTATAGCCATAGCAATGGCAACATTATCTCAGAACAAGGTACTACATTTTGTAAGCAAGGTTGGTTGATTTTTGATGTGGGAGTTTGCAGTACTGATGTGGCCATTCTGCTCCCCGCACTGTTTTGCACTGTGCAGACATACTCACAGTTTCCCTGACTTATGCAGAAAGAGCATAATTGCACCCTGGCTACAAGTCTCTGTGAAGAGACCTTGGACTGAGCAACCAGCAGAGCTGAAAGTGAGTCACTGGTGAGTATGTTGTATTTAGGGCTGTGCTGGAAAATGTTTTCACATCCCTTTCACTAAATTCCTTTTGTTCCATTTCAAAACAGACATAGGGCTTTTTCAAAAATATTTTTTGCAAAGAGAAGAGGAAGGTTCTATAATCCAGAAATGAGTGGTTAGGGAGTAGGCAGGGATATCTTTTTGCATTTTCCATAGAAAATACTTGTTCTTGTGTGGTAGGTGAAAAGAGGTGCAGAAAGATGATGAATAAGGTGCAAAGCCCTGCAGAAAGGTCACTGTAGCACTGTGTAGCAAGCACATCCCCACTTCTAACCAAGGCATGAGATTCTTACTTTCAGCTGAAGTACTTTGAAGGAGTGCTTGTTCTGCAGATCCCTACAGTGTTTTTTACACAAAAATAACCCCTACCTGTGCCTCTTCTCTTCTCTTAACTGCAGGTGGTGGAGGTGGCTGGAATGATAACACTTCCTTCCTGTGGTCAGGAAAATCCTTGCTGGAAGGTGCTACTGGAGGAAGATCCTGCCCCCAGGCCACGAAGAAGTGGGGGTGGGAGACAAGAGGGGGTTTCGGAGGGGGTGGAGGGGGGTGCTCCTCAGGTGGAGGAGGCGGAGGATATATAGGTAAAGTGGCTTCGTGTTCAAGGTGTCCCTTCCCCTCCTTTAGTGCTAATGATCAGCAAAATGCTGGTAGATAATTCTCCTGTAGCTAGCATATTTGACTGTTATGTACTAGTTTGTCTGTGTGTTGCCTTCTTAGCACTAGATGAACGTATGGCAATTAGTCTTTGAGCAAACAGCCAGATGTCAGTCCTTCAACTGTAATCCTGGCTTTGCGCTCTGCAAAATGTGCCATCAAGATCCTGCTGTGATTCTTGAGCCTTCCGTTTTGGGGTTATAGTGCTGAAGAAGGAGGAGCCACAGCCAATGTGCTCCTGTTTGCCAGCACCTGTGTTTTGAGTTCTTTGGTCCTAGAGACTGGCAACCAGGCTTTATGCCAGGGGAAAGGCGCAGCTTCTTCTACTCTGCTCTGCTGTGGATGGGCCTTGGTCCTGTGCAGGTGGTCTCTGGGGGCAGAGGCTCAGGCTGCCAGCCAAGACCCTTCTTAATAACGACAGTAGTGTTGACTTCAGTCAACAAGGAGCTAATTTCATGTGCTGCGGGTCTCAGGACAGCTGTCAGATGGCATTATGTTGATTATAACTGGTGTGGGCCAGATTCAAGATCTCTACTAAGCCATAATCTCCTGGGCCACATAGTTTCAGCCATCTGCACTGTGGTGGACTTTTTAACCCCTGGTTCTCCACAGCTTAAATCTAATCTATGATAGACTAGAAATCCTGAGAGGAAGTAATGAGTTTCAATGATTAAGTGCATGTTTTGTACCAATGTTGTTGTGTAATGCTTCTTTTTCCAACAGAATGCCTCGGATGACATAATTTTAATTTCACTGAAGATGGTTAAAGAGGAAAAAAACATTTTTGGGTGGGGTGGGGGAATCTTTGCATGCTTGTAGCACAAAATATGTGGCCCATACTGTGCTTCTAATACATTCTATGTATTGCCCATACTTTGCTCCTGATATGTTCTATATGCCCAAGCACAAATGAGCAACTCATAAACTTCTTAAGTCCCAACTCCTGCTGGACCACCCTGCTTTCGGGGTGCAAAGGAGAAGAAGGATATCAGATTATTCATTGCCTCTGCTGACACAGTACATGTCTTGATCAGCAAGGGTACTGAACTTAGCCCTTGAGTACTGGTGTTTTCCAGTCTCTTGGCCACATTAATTTTAAGAAGGGCTTATATGGTTTCCAAGCATCCTAATGGTTAAAGATGAAGTTTGTGCTTTAGGTGTACGTTAGTTTGCAGCAGTCTGCCTAAAATAGCTAAGAAATTGTTTGTCACAAGCTGCTGCAATTAAATTGAAGTTCTAGAGGTGAAAGGCCAGTAGTTCATGCCAGAACTCACTAAGTGGTTCCTGTATGTTAAATGCTTTGATTTATTCTCTTTTCTCATTTGGATGACTCCCTAAATATACTGAAATCATGCATGTTGCAATGTTTATCTGTATTTGAGTGCTAATAAGCCTCAGTCTGTTAAGGTAACTTCTGGTTTGATGTAGGTGGCAATGCTGCAGCGGACAATGACCCAGAGATGGATGGGGAGGATGGTGTGTCCTTTATTAATCCAATTGGTACTTTATACACTCCAGCGCTTAAAGGTATTCATGTTGGTCAGAAGTCTTCTAGTGTGTTTCTTTCATGTTAAGAATAGTTTGCATCTGTAGGGTGCACTTTAAAAGCCTTTGGGTACAGCTTAGTGTCATCATGAACATGAGGAGGCAGAAAAATAGCTTAACAAAGTCCAATGGAGAATAAACAGGAGTAATAGGAAGAAAGAAGGCAGAGATAACATCAAGCCTATTAGAAAAATGATTCCCAGCAATATAGTCCACCAGCCTATAGAATAATTTTGGCCAGAGAAAGTGGTATCAGAACCTCATATTTCATACAGTTCAGGAAAGAAGCAAACCAAGTACCTGATTATTCACTAACAAACATGTTCCTTAGAGCATCCCTCATCAAAGTATCCAGGCTGGGCCAGAGAGTTTCTAGAGAAAACAGGAAGTTTCTAGAGAAAAAAATGTTTGCTTTAGAACAGCTGGAAGTATTTTCAAATATAGATGGACTCTGGCCTGACAGATTCAGACAGAAAATTTTGAAAACACTGCAGTGTTTGATCTCAGAGGGAATAAAGGCCAGGAAAGAGAAGGGTGAGCCTCATGGACCACTGAAAGGGCAGGTTTCCCTTAGGCTCCGCAGCAGTCTCCTTGCTAACCTGGTAGGACTACCTGCTGAAAGAGAGCCAGTGCACCTCAACTGCAGTGGGACTCATTTAGTGGATGTTATTTTCTACATAAGAAAAGGACAGGAGCTGTGGAAGGTGCAGAGAAATCAGTTTCTTAAATGGGGCCCACCCTGCCACATCTGGCAATCATGACCACCATGTCCCCTGTTTCTCTCAGTGCCCAAGGAAACTATTATGGATGATCTTTACAGTAATTAACTCAGCTTCTCTCATCCACTCCCTAGTGACAGAGGGGCACGGAGAGGTGGATATTAGGCTGCATCTTAACTGCAGTCACTGTGAGATGGATGAGTGTCGTGTTGATCTTGAGACTCAAAAAGTCATTTGCTTTTGTGAGCCAGGCACAGAGTTGGCTGAGGATGGTGTGTCTTGCATAGGTAAGTAGATGTATGGGGTAGGCTGCTAATGTGTGAAACAGAAATGCATGGTAAAAATCTGTAGTTTGGACTGTAAGACATCCTGGAAGTGTTATCTGGTCTCTCTCAAAACTGGCTTCTGTTGAATGTTACCTTCTTTCCTGATGGTATATGCTCCAGAGTTATTTTGCTAGGATATAGACACGTCAGTGCTGAGGCACTAGTTTGCTTTACACTATCTGTTTAGCATACTGGGCAGCACTGAGGAGAGTCAGATTTTGCATCTGGTTGTGCTGATGCTTGCCTTCTGCTCTGAAATCATGAAAGTTTGCTCACTGAAGGAATCTTCCAGGTATACTTAACTTCCAGGTCCATCCTCTTAAGAACCAAAAAAACGTACAGGGTGAAGGAGAATATAATTCCTGTGGATTTGGAAACAAGGTGCATGTGCAGAATCTATAAGAGATTCTGCATGACAGATCTTTGAGGAAAACTAAAGACAATGCCTGTACTTGCCTTACTTGATAAAACAAGTGCTCAGAAAAACCTCCATTCCTAGGGGTTTTTTTGTATTCTTCCCAGCAATTAGAGCAAATGACTCTAAGGTTTCAGGATCCTGCTCTCAACTTTGTCACTGAACTGGGAAAATCGTTCTTTATTTCTACCATTCCCATCTGTAAAATGGGTAAAAAGCATGGTCATTTTATCAGGGTGAAGTAAACCTTAATAGATGGTCATTGAATGTCTTGTGGTTCCAAGTGAGGATGCAGCTATGAAATACTTTGTACTACATTTACTGTTGTCAGGTTTTTCTGCCTGGATTAGATGCATTTAGGAGATGATGTATTGCAGTCCTACTTCTGCTTTTGCTGTGATTTGGCATTGATAGCAGCACTTTAACCCTGGCAATGTAATGTTCTTTCCACCTCCCTAGCCTTCTGCCTGTTTTTTATGGTCTTGTTTTCATACCCAGGGAGTGCACATGCTAATTTGTTGATAGCAAACCATCTGTTTTAATAGCTTGATATTAATTGAGGGAAGTGAAACAATAAGGTATTAGAGGTTGTAGATCCTGAGAACTGATCATGCCAGAGGTTTTTTCCACACTTTAGGAGTAGCAGGTAAGTAAATGGAAGGAAGAGGAGAATCAGTCTGCAAAAAAGTGGCTGCTGGAAGATCATTTCAAACATGTAATTCCTTCTTCTCCTGCCTCTGTTACAGCCGAACCAGTGGTTCATCTCCCTCTCTCCTTGGTCTTGTCTGTAGTGACTTCAGCATTGGTGGCTGCTTTAATTTTGGCTTTTTCAGGAATCATGATAGGTGAGTGTTTCTCTGCAAAAGGTATTTTCCTATGAGAGCTGGATCTGAGCCAGGGATAATTGGGCCCTGGGAGGCAAAAAGATTCAGGTTTTTAGCTACTGCTGTATTTAATGACACCTTCCTACACAAATGCCTTAACTTCAGATTTCAGTAGTTGCTTCTAACCACAATGACCAATTTGAGGAGGTTTCAGTTACTGACTGCATCTCAAAAGAGACATTATTGCTTGTGTAGTAGTGTAAAGCTGCCAGAACACAGTTGCCACTGGTTTTGTGAGAGCTGTTGGTGCTTAATGCCTAAAAGCAACCTTCTTTATTTGTGTGCCTGTATACAGATTTAGCCTCTTAATGTATGACATCTAAGCTTGAAATTCTCACACAGGTTCCCTTTTTACTAACTGCTACTTCGTAGGATGTGGGCATTCTTGGAATCTTTATTCAAAATATTAAAAGGTGTTTTTCACCCTTTAATTTTCCAATTGCTCACCTGCATTCTATTGCAAGCAGAATAGATTTGAATCAATGAAAAGCAGACAGGGATTCAAACCACAGCTCTGCCACCTTTCTTTGTCCACACTGTATATAGTCTGGAGGAGGGAAGGGATGTACCCAGAACAGCAAATGGCAACTATTAAATTAGATTTGTGCAGCTGTTTCAGTTTTAAGAATTTCAGGAGTTATCAGTGGCACACACATGGTCCTACGTGTATGATTTCTGGCCTACCAGTACCCCTTCAAAATTACTAATTACTTCTCAGGGAGTGGAAGAGTAATCCTCTTTCCATCCAACTAACCTATCGTTGCCATCTCAGGAAAGAGCAGCGATTTAAAAAATCAAAGCAAAAGCAATGAGGAGGAAAATGGAGGACAGGAAGGGTTTGTGGATAGGTCATTACATCCGTCTGCCTTTGTGAGTGCATGTTTACCCCTTAAATTCTTCCCCTGAGCAACATCTGCTGGAGAAGATGCAATAGCTATTACCGACACAGTCTTTGGGCTCAATCCAGCTCCCACAGAAATCAATAGTAAGGGTAATAGTGATTTAACCTGCTCATGATTGGCATCTGGTTTTGAAAAAAATACTGCAATATCAATTACTATTTCAAGGAATATCCACAGGATGTCTTCTTTCAAGATGTGATTTCTAATGACATTTCAGAAGTATCACTGAAGTGATTCAAGGAATATAACACTACCATAAACTGATTTCAAATGTAGTCCAACTCTGTTGTTTAGAAACAGAGGAAGTTTTGCAAAACGAGCTAGTTTTATGTACAGTATGTTATTCTGAGGTAGCGGTTTAGTCTATCCATTTTTAACAATATGATACAGTAATTAATTTCAGCTTTTAGTCACTTCTATGTGATTTAGGAAAGTTGGGTATACTCCGATTCCCTCAAGTCTGGAACTGGACTCATACTTGGAAGGTCCAGTTAAATTAAATAGAACAAAACAAAAACTTCAGAACTGAAATCAGAAATCTCTGCAAGTGAAATCCATTTTACTTCTTCCAGACAGTTCATGAGCAAGACTGTTTCTTCATAAGATGTGTAAATCAAAGGTACCTGTATAACTTCCAATTCCATTTTCTATCTGTATTTGATGTACAGAAATATGACAGTGACACTGTCTGGTTTGATTCACTGAAATTTGGCCATGCAGCGAATTCCAGTGAGACATGCTGCACGGCTGCTGTCCTATTCCAAAGTCAATCTTTGTCTCTGGTTTACTGTGTTCTCCATATCTAGTATATCGTCGGAAGCACCAGGAGCTACAAGCCATGCAGATGGAGTTACAGAGCCCAGAGTATAAACTGAGCAAGTTGCGTACCTCCACTATCATGACAGACTACAATCCCAACTACTGCTTTGCAGGAAAGACCACGTCCATTAGTGACCTCAAAGAGGTGCCTCGAAAAAACATCTCCCTTATCCGGTAAATTCCTCTTTTCCTTCTCCACGCTTCACACTGTACACTCACATATGCTGCCTCTCTGACGCGAACGTGAACTCACGTCTTTGTGCAGGCACATACAAATTCTCATGCACTTTTAGACTCATGCCCCTTGTTATAAGGAAGATGTAAAGCTGTAGTAGTTAGTATTGTATGCAGGGGACTAGAGTTTGGCAGTCTCCTTGACCTTTTACAGGTGCACTGTTAATCTGGGATTATGAGAGGAACTACAGAGTCATCACCAGTAATTCAGACACATCTTCTGCAGACTGTGCAGTGAATGGTGTATTTCCAGTATTAACTGATGAAATGCTGGGAAGGCTGAGGCTTGTAGGAGGCTCTTTTAAAGTCTTTGATGGGATCTTTGGTAGAGACAATGACATCTTTAAGTACAACATCAGGAAGAGCAATGGGTTTGAGACTGCCAGACAGTATTAAAAGAACAGGAACATAAAGCCAGCAGGATAGTCGTGTCTAGATCAGAACTTCTGCAAAGTTTGAAATAGTGTCTTAAGAAAAACTTGAAAATGTAGAGTTCTTTCCCACTTTGCTCTTCTGCCTGTGGCAGTGCATGCCACTTGAGAATGTGACATTACCCTGATACCATGCAGTTTTACATAAAAAGTCAAGAAGTGGAAGCAGGAGAGCTTGGAAGACTAGGGAGCTTACAATGCTAGAAAAGATGATGCTCAGAGCAGTCTACGCAGTCTGCAATGTTCTGCTGTCTCTTGTTTCATTTCCCCTTACCTGCACATCTTGCTGGTCTGTATCTGGAAGTTTCTGGTGTACTTGGTACTGCTGCTGCTGTGTTTGTCACTTGGGCTCTGAAAGGATTTTTGAAGTGTAGCAAGCTGCGGAGAGCAGAGGATACAGCTAGGAATTGATAAGGGCAGGGAAGGTGGGCTTTTTGGCAGGAGGGTGAGTTATCAGCTGTAGAGATCTGTTTTATACACTCAGTTTGTAATAAGTTGGTCAGGCATAGCCAAGAATAGTGTCACAAGCTGATACCTGCAAAATGTTATTAAAGTAAGTGGTTGAGTCACAGGCAACACAAGTCCTCACTGTGGTTTCACTGCTTAGACTGGTCTTTACGCTGGCAAAACTACAGACAGAGCTTATGCAACAGCAGAGCAGACTGCCCTTAGCAGCACCTCTTAGAACTGGCAGGAAGGCAATGGCCCATGCGAAAACAGTCCACTGATAGACCAGAGAACAGAATCAGTGCAGCTCTCGGTAAGACCTGGTTCTACCAGGAAAGTGTGTGTTACAGAAGAGAGCTTTATTGAGAGCCTTTTACTGGGACTGAGACACAGGAATGGCTCTTAGAGGCTCAGACTACTACTGCCCAATGTGCAGCCCATGCAGGCTGAAGGACTCAGGATCTGGGATGCAGCCTCATTCTCTGTCAGACTTCACTATGTTGTTATGACATGCCACCTATGTGGCTATTGTACCAGTTGACTTAACATTAAGTGAGTCAACACTGAATAGACAGGCATGCAAAATCTGTATCACAAGGACATAGGACAGGATCTGTTGTGTGATTGCTTTAATTCTTTTCTCTTTTTCTTGTGCACTTATTCAAAATAAAACTGTAAATTCCATAATATGAGCAGTGCCAGAAACAATTCTCAGCACAAATTCCTAGAGCTGAGTGCTTTACAAAGCGCTGTCACCACCATTTACTGGCTAAGGTTGCTTACCCAGAATCACAAATAAATCTGGAAAAGGTGCTTGGTTTAGAATTCAGGTCCTTTGAGAACCATTGTGCTTCCTAGTTTCTTGTTCAATGTTTTCTTTAATGGTGGTGCATAAACATCATGGGAACTGTTAATGTGTTCAGGATGTGGGAACACCAAGATTAAGACCTGTCTTTATTGACCTGTTTTGGAGCACCCACCATTAGAGCACTGACACCAAAGCCATAGAAGAGTGCTATCCATTACACACTGCAGTGCCAGCAGCTTGGTTTCACTGGAGACTGTTCACTTTTGAGGATTGCTTTCCCTGCCAATTAAATACATTGTAGGTCCAGGAAAGATCACCTCGAGGTCTGGTCCCCTGTGTAATGTGAGGAGTGGTATCATCAGTGTCAATATCCAGTGCTTCCTCTTTCACTACCATGAAAATTGTGAGCCCATTCTGCAAGCTGTGACCACAGTGTTATAATGTGTGTTCTCTGTAGTAAAACCTTCTTGTCTTCTCTGGTCTGTCCAGGGGTTTGGGCCACGGAGCCTTTGGTGAGGTATATGAAGGTCAGGTGGCAGGGATCCCCAGCGACCCCACTCCCTTGCAGGTGGCTGTGAAAGTAAGTGACAGTGTATGAGTTATCACAATGGTTTCATGCACCTTTCACCCAAAAGTCCCAATGCATTATAAAAATGAAGATGAATTAAGCATTACCATAATACTGAAGGATGTGGCTAGAAAGGTTGCTGCTCTATTGCAACACCTCAGTTCATCACGGCGATGGTACAACTTGTAGGCTTGTGAGACTGTTAAAAGAGGTCTTTAAATAGTAAATAGGCAGAGATTTTCCATACAGCTGCAGTAGACTGCAGGTATGAGAAATAAATCCATCCTCCACATGCTACACCTGGTATTGTAACCTGTACAAAGCCTTTGAGTCAGAGGCCGAAAGTCTTCACAGGGCCAAGAGCAGCTGACACATGCATCAGAGAGCCTGCAGGTAGGAGATGGCTGTTTTTCCAGATATCTGACCACTCCATTACAGGATGGATATGCACTGGATGTGAAACTAAAACCTAAGAAACCCTGACAGGGTTCTCCAGGCCTTCAGCAGCCTAACTAGCTTTTTTTCTCCTAGAGGTTACGTAGCAGCACAATCTTACTGCTGGTTATAGTTCATAGTCTTGCTGGGAGGTAGTGGTATTGAACTGTCTCAGAGCTCAGGAACTGTTGTTCTCGTTCCTCATCCTCTACCCAGTGGAGTCCCATATATTGAGCACTCCTCCCTGTGCACTCTGCGCTATTTCCTTTGCTGGGAGGAGGATGACAGTGGCATTAATGGGCCATGTGTTCTGATCTGTACCTTTCAACAGGCTTCACAGACTAGTTCAGCAATGGTCTAGCAATTATCTTAGAGTGAGGTTTCTTTTAGAGAAACAAGGATTGCTGCAGACAATGTTGGTGCTTCTGATTGTGCCAGGTATTCTACATCTGTAGGTGTAAGTATATTCTCCTTGTCAACCTGTTCTTTCTTTTCCAGACATTGCCAGAAGTGTGTTCAGAGCAAGATGAGCTGGACTTTCTCATGGAAGCTCTCATTATTAGGTGTGTATGAATAAGATGAACAAGCACTTGTGTAGGCTTGCAAAGCCCAGCACTGTAAGGAAAAAAGGTGCTTTGCAAGATGATGTCCATGCAGCACATCTATACAGTAGTTTTGGTGCACAGCTGTCACTATTTTACAAAGAGGATAGGTGTTATCATCCTTTTCTGTTCTTCTTACAAATGAAGAAACTGAGGCACCAAATGATTAAGCACTGAATTTTCAAGAGAAGCCACAGTGGTTTTCATTATCCAAATTGAAAATCTTTAAGCTCAGTTTTCAGAACTGATAATAGGATCCTTTGGTTTCTCTCAGAGATTAGAACATGAGGTAAAAAGAAACCCTAGGAGTTTTGTTTAGACTACTCAAAACTAACACACAGCATTGACCTAATGCTGCTGTCATCTCAGTCACTGGGTCCTCGAATCCACAGAAATAGTTTCCCATCACACTGAGGTCTGGAGAAGTAAGAAAATACTTAAGACTAGACCTTGGAGGATATCACCTACATAAGCAGATCCCTGTGTCAGTATATTATTTGGAACAACTCTGCCCCGGCTCAGCTTCTGCCCCTTGGATAGTGAAATTAGGAGCAGACTCTTCTATTATCAGACATTCTCTGCTTCCTGGGATCCCCAAGTCTTGTTGTAGCCCAAAAACAGTGCAGAACACAGGAGGTGGAAAAGCAGCCAAAAGCCACTCCTTCCCCACCTCAGTTTCTTCATTACACAGACAGTCAGGAAGAGCAGGGGTAGTGCTTTAGCATTATCCAGCTACCCTGCTTTTGAGATTTGTTACTTATTCTAGACAAAAAAACCCAACATTCCCAGCAGCAAAACGTTTTGATTCTTTTCTGTAATTGTGCTTTTTGGATCAAAGCTTCTCTGTAATTGAGTCTCCCTGTCTCCACAGCAAGTTCAACCACCAGAATATTGTGCGCTGTATTGGGGTGAGCTTGCAGGCACTGCCCCGTTTCATCCTGCTAGAGCTCATGGCTGGAGGTGACCTGAAATCGTTCCTGAGAGAGACGCGGCCTAGACCGGTAAGAAAATAGAAAATTGAATTTTATTTAGTAAGCTGCTGCCACAAGGCAAATACATAACTGTAAAAGAGCTGATCCATGCAGCTGCTATTTCCCAGCATTTTAGAGGATCAGAAAATTTCTGTTGCTAGAAGAGCACTCTGGAGGCAGGACACAGACGTATAGGGAACAATGCTGCTGGGGTTATGCAGAGGTGCCTCATCCTTGGACTTTGCTAGATAGCATTGCAGATACTATCTAAAGAAAGAATACAATCAAAATAAATTAAAAAAAAAAGTTAAAACTCTACTCTTACTTTCCTTACAGCAGTTGGGGCCAGGTTGGAGGGAAGCATTAAGCTAGTAATGATAAATCCATTATTTAAACTGCTGATCAGGTGCATTTCTGTCGATATCTGTCAGTACAAGTTTGACATAAGCAACAAGGGAATCTGGCCTGGAGCTGTTGACTTGAGAGCAAATATCTTCAGTCCAGAGTTTCAAAGATTTTCCCACTGAAATCAGCATCAATAGGAAATGGCAATCAGTTAGAAATGTGTGAGAAATAAATTATGACTTCTAGAGAGGAATCAGTATTTCAGAAGAATAAACTTTGCTCTGAGTGTCTGGATCAGAAAGGCACCCAGATGTTGCTGAAGTTTAGTAGCAGGGCCCAGCTTCATGCTTTGTCCCTACATTTCTTTGACACAGGGTAAAATGCTGGATTTTATCAGTATGAGACACAAATTGGCTCTAGCAGGTATAAATAAGATTGTTCCTTGAGGCATCTGGAAACAGATCGACTTTGTATTTTGTCCTTGTAGTCTGGTTTTCAGACATATAAAATGGTCTGTGTTTCCCAGGAGTACCACAGTCTTGGATAGACTGCAATAAAGTGACTCCTGCCTGGGTAAGAAGGCTGAACACCCAGAAAGTCAAGATGTTTGAAATCTGAGCAAGCAGTCTTCATAAACAGCGGTTGGTTTTCTGTAGTACCTAGAGATACTCCTGTCAGCTCATATAAATGGGCTGAACTTGGTGGTAGGTGAATGGGGAAATGCATGTTTTGCAGCGTGAGCTCTGCTCTCACCTGTTACAAAGCAAAACGGCGTGGGCAAGGTGTGCTGCCTGGTAGGTGCTTTGTTCAAAACTGGAAGGACAGGCTGTGCCAAGTGTGTGAAGTGGGAGGTGAGACGGAATGGTGTAGGGCAAGGCCATCCATCACTTTGCAATGGAAGCATCTTTTTGGCTTGTTAAGTTAGAGAGAGAAGCCAGCTCAGTAATGATCAGGGTCTTGTAAGGAAGCAAGAACATTAATCCTGAACAGCA